GACAACCATCATCACCATCCATCTCCAAAAATTTTTCATCTTTTCCAACTAAAACTGTTCCCATTAAACATTAACTCCCCATTCCTCCTTCCACCAGCCCCCAACCACCATTCTACTTTCTGTCTCTATGCGTTTGTCCATTCTAGGTTCCTTATGTAAGTGGAAGCATGCAACGTTTGTCCTTTTGTGGCTGGCTTTTTCAGTTAGCATAGTCTTCAAGGTTCATCCATTCTGTATGTAGCGAGTGTCAGAATTCCCTTCCTTTTTAAGGCTCAGTAATATTCCATTGTATGTATATATCACATTTTGTTTATCCATTCATCCGTTGATGGACATTTGGGTTGTTTCCACCTTTTGGCTATTGTGGATAATCCTGCTATGAACACTGGGGTACAAATAACTATTTAAGTCACTGCTTTCAATTCTTTGGGATATATACCCAGAAGTGTAAATGCTGGATCATATGGTAAGTCTATTTTTTAATTTTTTGAGGAACTGCCATACTGTTTTCCACAGTGGCTGCACTATTTTACCTTCCTACCAGCAATGCACAGGGTTCTAATTTCTCTGCATCTTACCCAACACTTGTTGTTTTCTGTTTTTTGATAATGTAACCATCCTGATGGATGTGAAGTGATATCTCACTGTGGTTTTTATTTGACCACGCAATATTGTGGTTGCTTCTTCGATGATCTGTGTACCATAGTCGCTATTGGCCAAATACCTAAACAACTGAGAATGAATGAAATTTGGTTCTGCTGTCTTTTCAGGACTCAGCATCCAAGCTTTCCCCCTGTAAAGCAGGCATCGTCCACACTGCAGAACATGGGCTTGGGTGTGGTCCTTCATTGGCTGAACTGGGAGTGGGGCCTATTCTTTGCACCTCTTTCCCAGTATGAGCATGTGCCTTCACGTGATCTTTAAACTACTGCTGCACACAGTGTAGACCTGGCCTTGCCCTCCCCCCCAATAGCCTACAAGACAGCATGGGACAGGGAGCTCTATCACACCTGGACAGATGACATAGGTAGCTTAACCAAGCATATTTGCAAGTGACAACAAGTGGTTTTAGAGAACTTCAAACTTTGCTTATTTCCTTGTACAAAATACACTCGAAATTTGTTTGAATCCTCTGAAAAGAGAAGCCTATTTGAAAACTTGTCAGCAGCCCTTTTATTTATGGGCCTTTAGAAATGCATCAACTCAGTCCAAGTTGGCACAGGGCAGTGAACAGAGAAGGGTGCGTGGCTATTTGAGTGACTACACAGCTGCGTTTGGTCAGTCGGCAGTGCAGGCCAGGAGGGTTTCCCAGGCCGGGCAGCCTGCTCTGCCCTCATTCCTGAGCATGCCCATTTGGTCTTGAGAAGGGCATAGGAATCTTGGTACTTGTCTATCACTTTTTCTGAAGACCAGCACAGCCCACGTGAGTGAACGCTCATCCTGGGGTGTCCTGCGTGGCTGCCGCACCGAGGGCATGGAGTGAGCATGAGCCCAAGCGTCTGCCCGCCTGGCCCTCCAGCCGCCTCCACCCTCTGCAGTGCTTGGCCTCTCCCTAGAATCCTCTAAGGTCTTTCAAAGTCAAGGTCACTGACATAAGGAGTCACGGATTCAGGACTAGAACTCGGGTCCCAGGCTCGAAGTCCAGCCCTTCCAACATCTGTTGGCCTTGCCTACCCACGGCTGCCTGGGCCTCCCCGTGGGGATCTGTGTGAGTCTGCCAGCACTACACTCCTGTTTCTGGGTGTTGGACACGAGACAGTGTTGGTGGAAGGATTCCTTAGTGGGGTGGGGAGTGGGCTACACAGTCCCCACGGTCTCTTTCTCAGTAGGAACCTTTTATGGTTCTGTGCTTCCAGGCTACAGTGACTGTCCTGAGAACCAGATCCTCACAGCATTACTGAGCCCCACCAGCCTTCCTTCTAGAGGGCAGGCACGGCCGTCAGACCTGCTGGCTGACTGGCGGGGTCCAGCTTTTCTTGCCTGCACCCCTTTCTGGATCCACAGCCTTCTGGCTCTTTAAAGGCTCATAGGAATCTCCCTATCCAGCTACCTTGTGGTCTCTACCTCAAGGGAAACCAGGGCTCAGAAAGATTTAGAAACTTGCTCAAGTTCACACAGCTACCTGGGACTAAAACCAGTTTCCTTCTTTCTTTTCCTTTTTAAACCACTTTACTGAGGTATGATTGACATGTAAACAGCTGTACATATTTAATTCATACAGTTCAATGAGTTTGGGGATAAATATACACCCTTGAAACCATCACCACCATCGAGGCCATAGACTTATCCATCACCTCCCAACATTTCCTCCTGCCCGCTTTATTACTCTGTGTGTGTGTGTGTGTGTGTGTGTGTGTGTGTGTGTGTGTTAAGATCACTTAACATAAGATCTACCCTCTTAGCAAATTGTGAGTATGCAATGCAGTATTGTTAGCTGTAGGCACTATGCTGTAGAGTAGGTCTCCAGACCTACTTATTACTTATCTTGCATACCTGAAACTGTGTATCCTTTGACCATCACCCCCCTATTACCCCTCCCCATAGCCCGTGGCTCAACTACCATTCTACTCTCTGCCTCTATGTGTTTGACTGTTTTATATTTCACGTATGAGATCATACTGTATTTGTCTTTCTGTGTCTGGCTTATTTCACAAAAACCAATTTCTTGACTCCCTATACTATATGTTTGTTTCATCTCATTGTCTCAGATTTCAGCAAAACTCCCAGCAGCCAGCCCCTTGCCAGGACACCTCTACCAGGGAGGAAATCGGTATAAGGTCCCAGCCACACACAGAGGTCAGAGAGCTCGTGTGTTTGACTGTGGCTAGGGACCTGGCTCCTCCAGCCCTGCAAAATGTGTCTTATGTCTTTTCAAAGCTGCCATTTCAGACTTGACTTCAGTATGGACTTTGAGTCAGACACACACAGGTTCGAATGCCAGCTCTGTCCCAAACCAGCCACTTAGGTAGGCCAGTAACCTCTGTGAGCAGGAGGCAACGTGCGTCACAGCCTCGGCAGTGTCTGCCTGTGCAATAAACGGGAGATTAAAATTTCTGGCACTGGAACTTGGGTCTCTACAGTAAAGCCTGTAAGTTGGAGAAAGGCTCAACACCCCACAGGGGAAAGGAGGTGGGGGGGAGCAGAGAAACGCAGTGCTAGTGTCATGCAGACCTTTGCAGGCCGAGGGACTAGGCCAGAAAGAAGGGCAATGGTTATGGAACAAAGACACAAGAAATAGGAAAGACATGGTTAAATTATGGCTATATTTATTTATGAAAAAAATTTTTAATTTAAAAGCTTTTACTATTGCTTTATTGCAAAATAACAGCAAACACATGCACAAAGCTCAGCCAATCCCATCACCCAGGGAGAGAGCCGTAGTTTCCAGAGGTTCTCTCTGCATATTCAATTAGTCCACGTAAGTTTTATAAATTAGGGATCATACTCTTCTCCAAACTACTAGTTATTTTTTGAATCTACAGGATGCTATAGTTGTCTTTCCATGTCATAAGGCCACATCCCCATTCTAAGAGGCTGCCTCCTGTCTCATGGTGAGGTTGGACCACTCTCTATTCAAATTCTGCATTGATAGGTGGGATAATGGGTGTGAGAGGGGAGAAGGAAGGGACAGAGGGACACTAGCCAAAGTCCAGGGGCTGGCTGCTTGCCTGGGTGCTCTGTACCCTGCACAAAGCTGGTGTCACGTCTGGCTGACCTGGACCAGACAGACGTGTTGGCCCCTTTGATTTCCCTGGACAGGACTCCCCAGTTGATGGGAGAGCCCCCTAGGCCAGCAGTTTTCCAACGTGTCCTATACAAACACCAGTGTAGAGGACAGGCGATGGGGGGCCAGGCTGGACGCAGCATGTGTGTCTGGGGGAGGGGAGAGGACGATGAGGAGGTAGACCCCCCCAGCCCCACTGTCCAGGGCAACCCTGAGCTCCACAGCTGTGGGCAGAGTCCAAGGTGAGCGGTGGATCTAGTCCACAGCCCTTACTTTTCCTCTCCGTAGGACTTTGAGGCCCGGCTAGCTCAGGGCTCTTCCCTCTCTGGGAGCATCACAAATGAGAATTTAACCAAATCCTATTAGGTGAAGTGAACAAACCCACAGAACAAGATCAGTGATGTCAGTGGTTTCCATTGGCCAGGGCTAGGCAGGAAAGAAGAGATCTCACGGAATGGAGCCCTCATAAGCCCTCAGGCCTTGGAAGGTTGACAATGCTGATCGTGTAGTGTGGGCCAAATTAAAAACAGCGGCGTGGAAGTGACAGTCCGGCCTGGCCAGGTCACCACATCCACAGGCAGCATGGTGCCCACCAGCCACCCTGGGGGTGTCTGGGACCCTCACAGAAAGGTATCAATGTGCAGCCTCAGCTCCCGACATCTGTAATAGGAGGGGGTGAACTAGAGGTTCTCAAAGTCATTTCCAGCTTCCCGAGTTCTATGATTCTTGGGAGCTGTTCAGACTTGGTAAGGACACTAAATGCCTTTGGCATCAGGCTCTCCAGTGTGATGCAAGGCTGGGCTCATCTAAGAGTGAGTGCTTTGGGAGTCTTGACCCAGGAGGGACGCATCCCAAGCCAAGGGTGACACCGTCTCCTGTGGGACAGAATGACCTCTGTCCTGCTAAAGAGAACCACACCCTGGGGCCCAAGCCTGAGGCTGAGCACAGGGGTGCTGAAGGCCCACAAGCCTGGGTTTTGATCCTGGATCCCTTTCTGCAGCTGAGTGACCCTTTCCTCCAGAGTTGAAGGTATTGTTCCCTCCATGCTCAGCTCTCTGCCTGTACCCACAGAGGAGAAAGAAGGGAGAACTAGGAGAAAAAGATTCCTCTCCCACCCGAGAAAGGCAGCCCCTGGAGCAGAGAGCCCACACTCTCACTTCTCTCACTTTTCTCTCTAGAGTCCCTCCCAAAAGGCCTGGGAGAAAGGCCGGGTTTGGAGGCCAGCCGGTGGACCCAGGAGACCAGGTGATGTGACTGGCATGCACTCTCATTGCAGGGAACAGCAGCCACTTCCAAGCTGAGCTCTGTCAGAAGCACCGGCAGGACCTGTCCACCAGTAAGTGCCTCAGCACCACCCAGGACCCCCGGAAGGAGACCAGCAGCATGTGGGGGCTCATGGTGGTCGCCCAGCTGCTGGCAGGCATCGGGACAGTGCCCATTCAGCCGTTCGGGATCTCCTATGTGGATGACTTCTCAGAGCCCAACAACTCGCCCCTGTACATCTGTGAGTCACGGCTGAAGAGGGCTGCAGGGAGGGGGCAGGTCCTGGCGTGGCACTTGCTCAGGCCCCGAGGGGCTGGATCAAGGTCTAACCCCCTCTGCCCCACGACACAGCAAATGAGTGCAGAGGTTTGGGGATCAGACGGACCTGGTTGGAATGCCAGGTCTGTTACCTATCAGCTGTGTGATCCTGGGCAAGTGGCTGAGGCCCAGGGCCCCAGGATCATCTGCAGAATGGGGCTGATAATATCTGTGTGCTGGGCGCAGTGGGATTACCTGAGGTAACGTATGTATCTTAGCCCCGAGCCGAGCACGGGGCAGCTCCTTAACCAGCCACTGCTGCTGTCCAGTCCTCCAGGCACAGGCCGGGGCACACACGTCTTCCCGAGCCATCCACTTAGGGACAGGTTGGCCTCAAAGAAGCACATGCAAAGCAGAAGCAGATGACCGTCTGACTGCCCAAATCCTCCCCTTAGAACAAGCCACAGTGAGCAGCCTCAGGGCCCACGCCCCAGACCACACAGACCACACCCACTCGCTCTGTGTCCCACAGGCTCTTGCCAGGGCCACCAGCATGATACCTGCAGGGAGCTTCGCCCTCCAGCACGCTCCTGGGCCGGCATCTTTAACTGCTGGGGAGGCCATTTCCCTCCTGGCAAGTGGACCTCTCTGGCAGCTGGCTGGAGGAGAAACAGCTTTGGTTCTGCACGTCTCAGGATCTTGAGTGGTTCTGGCCTCGTCTGTGGGAAATGCCATAGGTGTGGACTTGTCAGGGCCAGGGGGCAGGTGGGGTGACATCTCAGGAACCCCTCAGCTAGGGAAAGAGCCCGGGGCTGCTGCACCCTCTCAATGCCCCTCAGCCTCCTTTCTCTGCTCCCCTTTCCAGCCATCTTATTTGCCATCTCTGTGTTTGGACCGGCTTTCGGGTACCTGCTGGGCTCTGTCATGCTGCGGATCTTTGTGGACTATGGCAGGGTGGACACAGGTGAGCATGTGTGAGGACGCCCATCCCATCGCTAGTTCTACAAAGCAGCTTCCCCCACACCCAGCCAATCACGGCAGAGAATGAAGCTTCAACCGCTCACTGCCACCTCATTCACTCGCTCACTCACTCACTTCTGCGGTCCCTCAGATAGCCAGGAGCAGACAGCCTGCGCCTCCTCCTACCAGGGCCCGTGCTGGGTGCTGTGGGGGATGTCTTGCTGAAGAAAACACACTTTCTGCCCTTAAAAAGTTTGTAGCAGGAAACCTTGAGTTCTAGGGAAGGGCCTCAGGTGTTGCCACCACAGCTGTCCATCTTGGTGGTGATATTAAAAATAGTTCTATGGTGGGGCCAGCCCGGTGGCGTAGTGCACTGGTGGCAAGTTCAGTGCACTTCGCTTTGGCAGCCTGGGTTCACAGGTTCAGATCCCAGGCACAGACCTACACCACTCATCAAGCCATGCTGTTGAGGCGTCCCACATACAAAATAGAGGAAGATGGGCACAGATGTTAGCTCAAGGCCACTGTTCCTCAAGCAAAAAGAGGAAGATTGGCAACAGGTGTTAGCTCAGGGCAACTCTTCCTCACCAAAAAAATAGAATAAAATAGTTCTATGGTTCTTTGCTTCTACAATGGTTTTGATTGTTTAAAAAAAAAAGATTTAATAAGGGCCCTTTTGAGGAAAAAGAGAAGCATTATATAAAATAGACACATGGATTATGACTCACATCTGAAGGAGTATAACATGGGGTTTAACTGTGTGGGCACTGGTAGTGGACAACCTGTGTCTAATCCTGGCTCCACCTCTACTAGCTGAGTGATCTTGGGCAAGTATCTTCACCTTTCTGTGCCTCAGTTTCCTCATCTGTAAAATGGGTCTAATGATAGTAAAAAAGAGTTGTTGCAAAGATTAGAACATGCCTGATGTATATTAAGAGGTTAACAGGCCTAGCTCTTATTCTTCAAAGAATGGTATGGACTAAAATCACTGTGTATCTTAGAATGAGAAAATACAGTCCATTGACGAGGGCACAGTATTGCGGTGACCATTCAGGGAGCCAGCCCCAGGACGAATCCTGCAAGGGCTATGGCCTCTGTAAGTTTGTCCTACACCACCCAGCCTCCCACCAGGCGGGGAGGGCCAGCCCTGTAACAGAGGGACAGGCGAAGTGCTGTGGAAGTTCCTACCTTGTAGACTTGCTTGGGTTGCTTGGAGAACCCAGCGGGATAATAGATATAAACACGTGGTCTAGTGTCTGGTTCGTGGTAAGCCTTGAGAGAGTCAGCTGCCTTCATCATTATTCCTGCCAAAGGTTGGGAATAAAATAAGGTGAGGCAAAGGTTCTGATGCCTTCAGCCTGCGGGCTCTTGATGCTCTGCTTCATGTGCAGTGGCTTCTGTTCTCTGAGAAGACTGGAATGGCCTAGAGAGGGAATGTTGTCTTGATCAAGGTTCTAGCTCATGGCTTACCTCTTCTGCATCATGGGAAGAAAGTCCCCTGATCAGTGGGTCTCTTTCCAGTAAGGTGAGATCATGCATTCATCCAACAAACACTTGTGTCCTTGCTTTCTCCTCACTGCAGTTAACTTGAGCCCCGGAGACCCCCGATGGATTGGAGCCTGGTGGCTGGGCCTGCTCATTTCCTCAGGCTTCTTGGTTCTCATGTCTTTCCCTTTTTTTTTCTTTCCTCGATCAATGCCCAGAGGAGTGAAGGTAAGGTTCTAAGAGCCTGTAACTCTACCCCTAGGAGTCTAAGAAAGGGAGGTGGGGGAGAAAGTAAACAGAACTGAGAAGCTGCAGCAAGTTCAGCAAATTCTGGGTGAAATCTAAACATGTCTCATGATGCAGGACTTCTCAGAGGCTTTGAGAGGTGAGAGTGCTGGTGAATTTCCAAACAATGGTATCTTATCCGTGTTCCCTTACCATGTGAGCATCTCAAGGATCAGGAGGCTCCAGGGAATGTAGTTTGGGAAACACAGAGTTCATCTAAATTGGGATAAAGAGTTAAGAGCCAATGGAGGCTGAATACGTGACCTGGCGCCCTCGACTTTTGCACTGAATAGGGCCCATCATGTCTGAACCAGAAGGACAGAGTAAGAAGGAGATTCCTAGGGCTGAAGAGTGTAAGGGTGGGCTGAGAGAAGCATGTTTTGAGCACTGACCTTCCATGCATTTTCCAGTTGTATCTGTTGGGGAAAGAAATCGAGGAAAGATGAGCATGGAAGATGGGGCAAAGAAGTCTGGGTAGGGGCTTTGATGTTAGGCTGAAGGCTCTAAAACTTGGTCTGATCTCATGAAGTTCTGGGGCACTGCAGTGACTGGGGGACCACTCAGGCAGCAACATAGCAGCAAGGTTGAGGTTGGGGAGTCAGGAAGAAATGAAGGCTGGAGATCTGAAGAGGCCAGTGTGGAGGTGGGGGATGCAGCTGAGGCCCAGGGCAATGGCTGCTGGGCATCTGAGGCAAGGGCGGGGGTGGATGTTCTTAGAGGGGTGGGAGAAGGACCCAGCAGTGAGCTGGGTTGGAGGAGGAGCGGGACTGAAGTTCACATCAAGGTTTTGAGGCAGAGCCTGAGCTCGACGTCCAGCAGTGAGGTGTGTGAGGTCCAGGCCCGGCCATGGGAAGAGGGGCCAGGCGAGGAGAGCCTCAGCTTGTCTTGAGGGAGAATTTCAGAAGTTGGCAGCACATCATGGTGGATCTGAGTTTGAATCCAGCTCTGCTACCTATAAACTAGCTGAGTGATCTTGGGCAAGTTTCCTTCCTCTCCTTTAAGACAGAGTACCTCTCTCAGAAGGAGGTTGTGAGGAATGGAACAATGCCTGTGGAACGCTAGACACAGTGCCCAACACGGAGTAAGCACGGTGAATGGAGCTCCTATGCCTGGTGATGAGTTCCCCTGAGGATCCTAACAGTGTCAGAGCCCAGGGGCCTGGCATATGTGTGGTGGTCCAGAGCTGCTGCTGACGGGTGCAGAGAGGGAGGCGAGTTCATTGACGTGGGATGCACAGAAAGTGCAGGTGGAGGGCCAGGAGAGCCTCGAACAGGACTCAACTATGGGCCCAGAAGGAAGCAGGGACCCCACAGTGGAGATAGAAAGAGAAAGCTGGAAACAGAGGTCATTCTAGAGTGTCCCAGAAGCCAGCGGCCCCTGGCGTCTGAGGACAGGGAAGAAGTGTAGCTATGACAGACAGACAAGGGGTAAGATCCAGTCGGACACCTTTTGGCATCAGTCATGGGAAGGTTAGATATGATCTCATGTGCCCGGAGGTAGCTTGGGAGGCATTGGCGTGGAAGCTTTCTGGTCGGCAGCCAAAGCACCAGGCTTACTGACATGCAGGTGGTATTTGCTTCAAAAGAGCATTCTCTGGACGCCCTCTCCCCAACACATACCTGGGGCAGCCCACTGCTGCCCAGCCCGGAGCCACCGAGACCAGAAGGGTCAAGGGCCCAGGGAAGGGTGGCTGCAGGGAGGCTGGGCCATTAACATTCACCCCCTTTGCTGCCTTCAGAGGTCTCCTGCTGTAGTGGATGGGGCAAGGAAGATGGAAGAGGTCCAGCCAAGAGCCTCCCTGATGGATTTCATTAAACGTAACTGACTGACCCGGCAAAGCCCTGGGTGGGCTGGCTTGAGGGTGGGGTTGGGGATACCCCAGCCCATGTGGTCTTGTGTTTGGTAAGGGGCCATAAGAGCAGGTGGTCTATAATTGACCCATCTCCCAGGGGGGTTTTGTCAGGGGTTCCTGTGACTGCTTCTTTGTGGGTTCCAGGAGACCCACATTCAAGCCGAGTCAGCTCCCCCCATAGTCCGCCCCCATGTTCTTCTCTCTCCTCCCCTCCTGTGGATGTGGCTGTCATGTGAGGAGAAGTTCCCAGTGTTGGTCCTATTTCTATCCACCCTCCCCCTGATGTCTTCCAAGCACGTCCTCATTTTATTTAGCCCATGGCATGTTGAGTGGAAGTCTGAGTGGCTGTGTGCCCTGGACTGGCCCCTGAACATCTTGGTGCCTTGGATTTTGCCCTGAGGAAGAGAGGAGAGCTGCCTGGAAGGAGGAGGAAGGGCAGCGGCCAGTCTCACAGTGCCCTTGTGACCAGTGCGTGCAGGCCTGGCCCCTGACAGCCATCTGTTTGCAGGGTTTCCCCGCATCTTCCTGAAGCTCCTGATGAACCCACTCTTCATGCTCACGGTCCTGGCCCAGTGCACCTTCTCCTCCGTCATCGCCGGCCTCTCCACCTTCCTCAACAAGTTCCTGGAGAAGCAGTATGGCGCCTCCGCGGCCTATGCCAACTTCCTCATCGGTGAGTCCCGAGGGTGCTGCAGGGGCTGGGCGGCTCTGCCTGAGGGAGGGGCTGGGCCGTCCTGCCACCCATCCAGGACGTGCAAGGCCAGACCAGACACAGACAGGAGCCAGAGGAGGACTTGCCCAAGAGAAAGAATTTTAAGGACATTTTTCCTGGTTGGCAATCTAGAATATTCTTGGCAGATTTCTGGGAATGCTATCATTCCAGGCAGGAGTGGGTAGAGGCTGGGGGCTGCCTTCCTCCCCGTCAGAGGGGCTAGAAGCCAGACAGCCTCCCAAAGGCCCTGACATCATCAGGGGCACCAGAGGAAAAAGAGAGGATCAAGTTTGGGGTTGGGTAAATGCCTTCTGGTTTTTTCCCTTCTTCTCCAAGGACTTGAATACATTTGCTTGGGTAAGGAGTATGTGGCCCAGTGACTCTTAACCCTGGCTACACCTTAGGCTCCCCTGGAGAGCTTTAAAAGAATACAGATGCCCAGGCCCCACCCTCAATCAATGAAAGAAGAATCTCTGGGTGGGACCCAGCATCGGTGATTTTTGCAGCTGAGGTTGAGAAGCACTGATGTGGTCCCACCAAGGACTCAGGTGAATTATTGGGCCCAATCCACAGGTGAGCTTGACCATATGGATGTGGCAAGGTGGTCAGGGCATGACTCCCAATGTCCTTTGTGGCCTTTGGCTGGGACCTCACCCCTGTAGCCTTCAGCCTCTGACTAGCACATCAGGCAGAGGGCACCACCAGTGCCTTGCTAACCCATGTGGTCACAGCGAGGGTGCAATGAGGGGCCAGGTAATGAAAGGCGCTTAATAAATCCACATTCAACCCACATCCCTGTGGCTGCAAGGGCCCCACTTCTTTCTTTATTCTTTGCACAGGCAGGGCAATCCCTTATGTAGAGATAACTCTGTAGATATGCCTGGCAAACAGTAAATGCTCAATTAATGTCAGTTACTGCTATTGCAATTGAACACATCAAATGTTCCCTGAGGAAGCCATGGCCCCTTCTCCATGGTCCAGCTCGGCATCTGGGCCCACACGCACTCCCAAGGCCTCTGTACCCAGACCAGCTTCTCTCTCTATAGGTGCCGTGAATCTTCCAGCTGCAGCCCTGGGGATGCTGTTTGGAGGAATCCTCATGAAGCGTTTCGTTTTCTCTCTGCAAACCATTCCCCGTGTGGCTGCCACCATCATCACCATCTCCATGATCCTCTGTGCCCCTCTCTTCTTCATGGGATGCTCCACCCCGGATGTAGCAGAGGTCTACCCCACCAGGTAATGGGAATTAGGGATGAGAATATACCCTTTGCTAAGGTCAGAGCCTGGATCTGCCCGCCATACGTCTTCCTTTCTGCTTCCTCAACTCTCTTCTCTCCTTTTCACTTTTTGATCTAGTCTCTTATGTGGTAACTTAGAAAATTAGGTCTTGAATAGTATGCTCAATTATAAGAAGAAATCAGAGGGTCCCTGTGGGCCACCATTAATCAGGGTTAGGGTTGTGTTTTTTAAGAAGCCCCCAAAACAAATTAGTTTTGTTTCAGGATGAATCTGTAGGGCTGTGAACCTCAGGAACCAGGAAATAAGCTATGTTTAGCATCAGCTCTGTACCAGCTAGAATTACAGAGTCTCATTGAGCTGCTGAAGAAAGATGAGAGAAGGAGACTCGAAAAGATCTGGAAAAGAACAATGAAAGTGATGGCAGACTTGAAAAAGCAGGGCGGGTGAGGAATGGGGCAGGTAAAGTATACCTGTCGGTTTGCATAAAGCAACATGGCCCTAAGTTTTAAGTCTGGCTTCGTATGCAGGAAGAGCTTTAGAGGCCTGTGAGGGGGGGTACTGAGTGAGGGGCATTTGATTTTTTTCTAGGTGCCACTTTCAAGCAGCTCTTCTTTTAGATTTTGCCTAATGAGGTTGCAACATCTGGAGATGCTGTACCTTTCAGCCTTGGTGTTTTCTCTGTCTTTCTCTTTGAAATAACCTCTTCTGTCTTTGGTGCTCAGGATGGTATTCCCCCTACCCGCCCAGTTTGTATTGGTCTCTGCAGGCTGACTGTGGGCTGAGAGAAGCTGAGAAGGCTTCGGGCTTTTGGTGGCCTTTACTGGGAGTTTAGTACAGGGCTTTGTCATCAGACTGGGCTCTAGTTCTGGCACTGCTCTTGATTAGCTGGGAAAAGTCACTTATCTAGAGCCAGCCCCGTGGCTTAGCGGTTAGGTGCACGCGTTCGGCTGCTGGCGGCCTGGGTTTGGATCCCGGGCGCGCACCGACGCACCGCTTCTCCGGCCATGCTGAGGTCGCGTCCCACATACAGCAGCTAGAAGGATGTGCAGCTATGACATACAACTATCTACTGGGGCTTTGGGGGAAAAAAATAAAGAAAATTATTAAAAAAAATAAGTTACTTATCTAATCTGCAGTTCTCTCATCCACAAAAGGAGCATAATTAATTGTAGGCTTATTGTGATCACTGTGCCCGGAAAGCCCGTGGGCACAGTGCCTGGCACATAAGAGACACCCCATTATGTTAACTATCATTAGTATATTGATTTTAGCAAAGCTCTGGACTGTGGTTTGTCAGCCCTACCCCAACTCTCCCCAAAGAAGATCATGAATATCAGATACGGGGGGGTTGAAGCTTGGGGGATGGAGTGACCAGGGCAATGTCTACACAGGCCCAGAGGCAGGAGCCATCTCAACCCCGGCTTGTTCTCAGCGTGTCCCTCAGCCTGAAGCCAGGGGAGGAGAGGGAAGGGGAATATTGCCTGTGACTTTACATAGCATCTGCCATCTCATCAGAGTCCGGGTGGTTGGTTGTCTTGACCCCTTCTGCAGTGGGGGGTTTGCCCACCAAGCCTTTGCAACCAGCAGTGCTTGGTTTGGTTTCCTAGTGGCAGAAGAAACAGAGAGGTGCCGTGAGCACCAGACAGCAGCCAATCCCCCGTTGGCTCTGATGGCGTCATTCCGATCCCAGGGTGGCGCTGGCCCAAGACAAACAGAGGAGCACAGGCACACCAACCAGGCAGGAGCACACACCGTGCTGGAGGGCAGGGATTAGTCTTTGGTCTTGCTCTGTCTGATTCCCCGTTTCCTGTTTTGCTGGCAGCACATCAAGTTCTATACATCCGCAGCCCCCCTGCCGCAGGGACTGCTTGTGCCCAGACTCCATCTTCAACCCAGTCTGTGGGGACAATGGAGTGGAGTACCTCTCCCCGTGCCATGCCGGCTGCAGCAACATCAACACCAGCTCCAAGCAACTGGTAAGGGCAGTTGGAGCCCCCAGAGGTCTCCGCGCCATGGGTGCCCTCGCAGACGGCACTGAGGCTCCAGGACGGGCAGCGGGCCACCCACACCACCCTCCTTCCCAGCATCCTGGCCTCTGGGCCACACCCACCCTCTCTCCACCTCCCCTTCCCTAAGATTATGACCAGATGCCTACAGCCCAAAGTCAATTAAAGATTGGCCGGTGTTCAACAAACTCACATTCCTGAGGCCCAACAATGCTCAGAGCAGAAATGAGCCAAAGCACTGCTTCAGCTGAGGCCTTCGAGTCTCATCTTGATGGATCCTGATGGGCATCTCTGGGTCCTGCGTCCCGGCAGTATGGGAAAGCCGCATGGACAGGCCCAGATAAATCGAGGGCAGATGGTCGATTAGTTCATTTGGTTCAACCCCTCAGCTCCCAGGAGTGGCCACACAACTGGCCTGAAGTCATGCAGCTCTTTAGGGGCAGACCTGGGACTAGAACCAGGGCCCTGCCTCAGTCTGGGGTCTCATCTGCTCAAGGTCACATATCTCCTGGCCACCAGCCTGTCACTCGTGCAGCCCACATTCACTATGCCCACTCGGTGAGGTCCTAACAGCCCTCTGAGTGCTATTGCTCCTGGCCTTCTGGGATCAGCCAGCAGTAAACCAACTCGAGTCGTTTGACCAGTTTTTCAACAAATACTTAGTGAACACCCGGCACAGCCATGGGTGCCAAGGATTCAGTGGTGACCTCATCAGACAAAGTCCCTGCTCTCATGGAGTTTGCATTCTATCAAATAAATGCACAAGATAGTTTTAGAAAGTAACTCGTGCCATAAAGAGACTTAACGGACAGAGAGTGCCTGGGGGGCCTCCCTGAGGAGGTGACATTAGAACTGAACAACCAGAAGAAGAAAACCATATGAAGACGTGGGAGTGAAGCACTTTGTGTAAAGGAACAGCAAGTGCAAGGCTCCGGGGCACGAGTGAGCTGGACGTAGGAGGAAAAAGAGAAGGCCAGGGTTGGCGCTGAGAGAGGAGGACTGTCTCACCCAGTCAAACCAGGGAGCAGGCAGGGACCAGAGCCAGGCAGGCCAGGCCTAGGAGTTGGGTGTTCTTTCTCCTAAGTGCAACGGGAAGTCTGTGCAGTTCCCCTAAGGATGCCCTAAGGAGAGGAATGCACCATAATCCCTTAAGCCTGTGTGGAGGGCCTGGGCGAGGCCAGCCCCCACTTACCATCCTCCTCTGAGACGACAGGGCAAGGCTGCTTCCACAGCCCCCTCTGTGGGCAGAGGAGCGTGGTTCTCAGGCAGAGGGAGGACAAGGAGCTTGGACAAGATGCTCTCTCGATTGCCTTCTAGTCGGAGGAGTCTGTGGTGGCTTCTGTGGTTTTCTTATCTTTGTTTACTTACCTCTGACTCATCTACTTCCAGAAATAATCTTGACAAGTTTCCAACAACAGCACAAACATATCCATTAGTGTAATATCAAGAAAAAAGTAGTAAATCATAAGGAAAATATCTACGTTGAAAAAATCCAGACTAAAGGAAGTAGCAACTGTATTGTATATGACTTATGTCTGAGCTTCCTAGCAGCCAAATAAAGAGCGTGCATAGTTCCTGCTATCTGGCAGAAGGAAGCATACTAGCTCATTAGTTCCAAGCCTGGCCTTATAATTGCTTGACACTTAAGTGGTCATAGGCTGGTCCCCCAGACACTGAGAGAGGGAAGGTGAAGACCATCTGACACAGGAGTGGCCACCAAGGCAAGCTGTACAAGTGTTGAGCCATATGGACTTGCAGACTTGAGACAGACCCCTTCTCTCGAGTCCTTTACAGACAGAGGGAATTCCTCCCAGGCAGGAAGCTCTGGCAAAGAAAGTCCTGACAGATGAAGAGCTCGGTGGTTTCCATTATTCCCACTGCTGTCTCCTCCTATTTATACCTCCCTTACCCTCCCGGCAATAAACACATGAAGAGCACAACCAACCACCCACAAAACCACTGCTGCTGGTGGCCCAGACGAAAGCCCTCCCAGCCCCCGGTCCCAAGCCGGGTGAGCCTTGCCTGGCAGTGGCATGCTGCATACCCTGATGCAGGTGTAATGCTGAAGGAACCCAGCCCATGCTGGACAGCTGGTTGTGGTGAAGACGATTTCTATCGCCCAGTGGTCAGAGTTGGACTCCATGGGGCACCTTGAAAACCTCACCTGGTCTCCTCTCCAGCCTCCTCATCCAGCCTCACCCAGGGGACTCAGCGGGCAGAGGGGTTGAAACCTGAGGGACTCTCTGGCAAGAGCTGGGGCAGGCGTTTGAAGTGTGTGGAGGCGAAGTAATAATGGCAGATTCCCCCTTCTCCTCCCTCTCCTTTTCCAGACCTATTTCAACTGCAGCTGCGTAATCGTGACCGGGAGATCCGCTTCAGCAAAGACGGGATCGTGCCCCATCCCCTGTGCCCACTACCTGCTCCCAGCCATCTTCCTCATCTCCTTCGTGGCCCTCATAGCCTGCATCTCCCACAATCCCCTCTACATGATGGTCCTGCGGTGAGGGCGCCCTCCTTCCCCGTTTCCCTCTCCTTTGGCCCTGCTGCCCACTTCTCGTCTCTCCTCTCTTTGCTGGCCCGCAGAGGGGGCTCACCCTCTTTGAACGTGAATGTACAGCATTCCTTGGGTGGTCAGGGAGATAACACCAATGCAACAGTGCCGGGGCCCACCTGCGCTGGGCTCTGTGCATCGCCTCAGCAATTCCCAGCATCATCCGTGTGCCGCAGCCCCCTTGGCGTCTCCATTCCTCACATGGGCGACCACCAGCCCAGGAGGGCAGAGCCAGCCAATGGCTGAGCAGCCTAGTGAAGCCAGGCTGCCTGGCTCCACGTTGTGGAAATGCCTGTAGATTCACTTATCTTTATATCGCAAAAGAACTGAGAGGAGGGAGGAGAATTCAGTTGGATGCACAAAATCGAGGAAGGAAAATGAGGAAAGTTCCAGAAACAGAATGAAGGGAAAGAATGAAAACGAGAAAAGCCCAGTGTGTTAGGAGCCAGGACTGCACTCTCAGGTCAGAGGGAGAGGCTGGCCAAGGAGGGCGGGAGGGCAGCAGTGTCCCATTACGGTGACATGAAGGGCCTCTGAGGTCTTGACAGGGAATGACCCTCCCTTCACCTCACCTCTGCAAGGGAGAAAACAGCGTTTCAGCCAAGTTCCCCTAACCCACCCACTGCCCGCCTCTCTCCTGTCCTCGCCTACCTCGCAAGCAGAGAGGGAAGAACACAGGATTTGGATGCCCAATGCCAGGGCCAAAGGCCCAGCCCTGCGGTCCACTGCCTGAGTGTCCTTGGGTGTTGCCAGCCTCACTGAGTCTCAGTTTCATTATTTACGAAAGGGGGTTGATGAGGTTGACCTCAGAGGATTGGTGTCTGGATTATACGGTCAATTGCTTTGTAAATACAAGGTGCTCTACATATCAGTTAATTATCACTGTTAACCAAATTACAATAATTATTATTGTTAACAGCCAGCTAGGTGCCAATGACCTCTTTTCCCTGGAAGGCTAGGAGATGAGGAAGGAGTAGAAGCAGCCACTCGTCAGGCTCTGGGTTTTACCGTATTTACAAGTTAGCTTGCAAACTACCAAGCTCCTGTTTCTGTTACTGTCTCAAGGATGCTGGCAGAAGACAGGAGACTCCTGGGTCAAAACAAATGACTCTGTTGCTCACAGCACAGCAAGCAGCATGAACCTTATGTTGCTTCGTTTATCTTTGTCCCCCAAGTCCTATGGGGTGACCCCGAGGGGCCCAGGTGTATGTTTCACACGCAGTGGATTTATGTCACAGCTGAGGAGCACTGAGCTTGAGAGAGCCATGCTTATATAGACCAAACCTGCTCTCGGTCTAGGGGAAGATTTTACCTCACGCCTCAAGTTGCTTGTTGCAACCACAGTCCCAAGAAATGGCCCAGGAACAGAGCAGTCAGGACCTTGGATTCCTAGCATACTCCACAAGAAGGGATAGGGATGCTGAGAGCCCACCGCATATTGCCTCTTCCAACAACATCGTCACCCTCTTCTCTATCACTCCCGGTCCTGTGCATTCCAAGGACCGACGCTTTCACCTAAGGCCCTTGAGTGGGGTTCCCTTCTTGCACCTCAGTTCAGATGGACCATGGTAGACTCTCTACTCTGAGAAAGATCTGTGCGCAGCCATGACGAGAAGAGGGAATAGGACAAGGACATTTCCTAGGGAAGTCCCTGAGCAGGGGGGCAGCCCATCCCTGCCAGATCACCTCCCAGAGGACTTCTGCCAGCCCCGGGGATGGGAAGTAGTGGAGGAGGAGCAGCATTTCGACCACAGGATGGGCTTTTCTAGGAAATCTCTCCCTTACAAGTCTAGTCAGGGGCTGGAGTGGAACTGGAGAAGAGGCCCAGGATCTCCAAATGATTTAAGGATAAATCCCACTGGGCAGGATAAGAGAATGGATGCTATTTAGTGTGAAGAAGTGAGGCTTAAAGATGACTTTGTAGGTGACCCAAGCATCATTTGCATCAGTCCTGGCCCTCCACTAAGTATGGGAAAGCAGGCTGGGGATGAAGGTTCACCAAAAATGTGGAAGGAGAGAGAGTGGTCAGAAAGCTAGCATTAATTCAGGGCCAAAGGGGGCAGAGACCAGAAGGGGCTGAAGACCTCCATCAGAAGCCAGAATGGGGTGCCCAAGTCCCATTTAGTTGAGAGTCTAGGGGAGTCTGCCTGGGGATAAGGACCAGGACAAGGGGGTATCTATTATGGATTGGGCCACTGGAGGATCTGTAGACATAAAGGGAGCATCCATTAGATTAAGATTTGAGGCACTTTCCACTGGGGGGATCCCAGTGGGTGCCTCTTTACCCTGCTACACCCCAGTGAGTACTGCCCTCATGGGGCCATCCCTCAGAGGAGCTGGAGGAAGGTCCCTTTCCAGTTTACTAGGAGAACTATGGGGGTAAAACAAAATGTGTGCAGAGATCTGGGGATCACTTCTGAGTTCCCCCCTTGCTGTCCCCTCAAGCCAAATGCTTTTCCGCAACAAGCATCCGCCCAGCAGTGTGTGTGCTCAGAGCACAGAGCAGCCTGGTCTCTGCTGGCCACATCCTGGCTCCCCACCTTGTGTGAGGGAGGTGTCCTCCCTCTCTGCTCCCCGCCCAGCTGGGGTGGCAAGGCCTGGCAGTACCTCCCCCAGATAGCCTCCCTCCCCTGTTTCTGAATCTCCCTGCTCAGCCAAAAACATTTCCCATCTTGAGGGAAGAAGCGGAGGGGCAGGACTGGCTGTGGAATTTGCAGGACTCAGTGCAAAATGAAAATGTGAGGCTCCTGGTTCCAAAATTATGAAGAATTTCAAGAATTTTAATTAAGAATTAAAACAAACGCAGGGCCTTTCTGAGGGAAGGGCCCTGTGAGGCTGCACAGGTCCCATGCCCACAAAGCTGGCCCCAGGTAGAGGATTCTTTCAGCTGCACACAGGAGCCTACAGCCCAGGGGCCCTAACTACCCTTGGCATCAGGGCTGTCTCTCATTGCTATAAAACACTGGGAGTTGTTCAGACCTGCTGCTGTAAGCACACCCTCCAGCACCCTTCTCTCCACTTCCAGCCTCTTCTGCCCTCTCCTCTTGAAGGGGGCTCTGGGCAGCCTTGAAAAATCACAGAGACCACAGTGGTTCTCAAACTTGAGTGTGTTACGGAATTCCCTGGAGGGCTTCTCAAAAAAGCTCGCTAGGCCCCACCCCTGGAGTATCTGATTCTTAGGGCTGAGGTGGGGCCTGAGAATCTGCATTTCTAACAACTTCCCATGAGATGCTGATGTTGTTGGTCCAGCAATCGTGCTTTGAGAACCACTGACATAAACAACAGGATCACTTGGCAGAGGAGAATCCAGTCAGCCAGGTGGCTCATCAGGCCGCGTGAGGGCAGGTTCTGACGTGCTCTGAGGCTGGCTGCCCCTGCCTGAGGGAAGGCACAGCCCTGAGTCCTTCGCTGCTGATTCCCTGTCTTCCTTTTCAGTGTGGTGAACCAGGATGAAAAGTCGTTTGCCATCGGGGTACAGTTCTTGCTGATGCGCCTGTTGGGTAAGCGTATGAGACGCCCCTTTCCTGAGGAGTGGGCCCAGGGCATCTGAGGGCTATGGCCTGCAGGGCGGGGATGGGGAAAGCCCTCTCTCATCTGTGTTGTAAAGAGAAGCTGTGCATAGTCAACACATCAGCAAATACCAAAACCCTATATGGGCAGTTTCCCAGTTGCTTTAGGTTAGGAAAAGATTCCATCTATAGCATCAATTCCAAATTAAATTATCTAAGACAAATGAAAAGTGGACACAGCTGAGAATACCTAAGAGAATTGAAGGCAGGTGTGTTTTAATTGCTCTCCAAGAACTCACTGTAGGAACAAAACCTTGCATTCCTGTCCCAGCCAGACAGCCGCTGAGCCCAGCCCTGGCGTCCCTCCCATTTTACAAGACTCACTCCTCCTGCCTCTATTCGGCAAATGTCTCTCAATGCGGGGCCCTCTGCGGCAAACCCTACCTGCCCTCAAGCAGCCCAGAGCCCAAGAGGAACAGAACTGTGCACAAGTGATCAGCAGTGCGCCCCGGGGAGGGCGAACTGCCTGCAGGGAGCAGGAAACCCCCAGCCCTCCCTGGGTGGACTGTGGGGAGGGGCACACTGCGGGCCCTTTCCCAGACTGCGTGTGCTGGACTGTCCCCTCTTGACACATCCAGGCACTAGATTAGACATGAGGCACTAAGATGGAGACCCTTGCAGTGACAAGTAAATGAAGTAAAGGGACTGAATTCAACTGAGGACGTATTATTAGGACCTAGCGGGCGCATACTGCTGTGGGGAATATGGCGATTGAAGCAGAAGGACTTGAGTTACTATCAAGGTGTACGTTCTGACCTTCAACACTGAAGTCCTACAGAGCCACTGTGCATTATTATTATATAAGTGCCAGGTCTGCACTTCGCCCTGCAGTGGCTTCCATTATTCTGGGGTGTGTTGGCGATGTCCCTCCTGGGGCCTGCTGAGTGGGAGCCTTTGCAGGGCATCTCCGACCCAGGTTGGGTGAAGTGTTTGGATGATGAGGAATGAACCTTTTCAATGAGATTTCTTGGTCTTGGGCCACTTGCTCCTCTCGTCCCGGTAGAGCCCCTTCAGACCCTGCTCCCCTGGCCTGTATTACAAGCACAGAGGACGTAGGGCAGAGGGATCTACCCTGTCCTGGTGGCAGAGGCACAGTCATCATCACAGCTCCTTGTTTTCATTTATAACTTGCTCTGGAACCTCCACTGGGAAGCAAACCTTGCACTCTGCCCGGTCCGACCAGCAGTTAGGATGGGCTCTGAGGGGCCCTGCCCTGCTTCCTCCAGCCACCAGGAGAACAACTCGCCCACTGCTCAAAGCACCTGCTGCCTTTGTTTTTTCATTTGAGTTCAGATAACTCCGTGTAGGACCACAGTCAGAAAACTCAAGCCTGGAGGGATTCTGTTCATCACCCAAAAATGCAATTCCACTCTGGGACAGAAAAAATGGCTTTGTATCTATAATCCCAGCAAATTTAAAATTACCTGCTGGGACTTGGTTGAAATTTTTTCTGGACTTCGTTTCTATTTAGGGAAGCATCATTGGAGGTCAATCCTTGTGGCCAGTTTTCATCCCCTGTCACCTGGAGACTTGGGGGTGAGCAGGGTCTGAGTAGAGGCTGGTTCTCAAAGGTTCCCACTTATGGGCGGAGCCACAAGAAGAAGATTGCCTCTTTCTTTCCTCTGGAGGCAGCTTCTCACAGGGCCCTAAACAGTCTGGGAGGCTGTTCTCAGCACAGTGGTTCTGAGAATGGGATGGCCTGGCCTGGGTGTGGATCCTAGACAAACCCCTCCCCAGTCCAGTGACTGCCTAGAACTGTAGCTAACGACAGAGGGGCTGTTCTGAATGTTTAACAGCAGTAAGGTATAGCCCCTGCTGGACCAGATCTTACCACTCAGCTGCGGGGAGTTCAGGGGGCCTGGGGCAGAGGCTCTGGGCAGCCAGGGTGTTGGGGGATTCTGGGGGTGCCATCTAAGTCAGCAGGGCAGCTTGGCCTAGAGGAAGAACATGAGATTCCAACCTCCGTAAACTAGGGTTCAAAGTCCAGCCCTGACCCCTCTTGGCTATGCGACGGTGAGCTAGCCAAGCCTTGTTAAAATGAGGGCACCCACCCACCTCCAGGCTGCTGTGAGGACTTGAGGAGTCGATGCCCTCGACAGCCTCCTGCCACATAGTGGAGGTTAGCACATCTCCACTTGGGGCCAATCCCAAGTGTGGGAACTATGTTGTCTGTCTGAGCCGGCACCAAGGTGACCTCTGTGACTCACTCTGCCCTGAAAGGATGGCTCAGGTCCCTTTTCTCTTCTAAGCCTCTACAGAAAGAGTAATTCAGGCTTCACGGAAAGCTATGCTGCTTTCCCAAGTCGCTGTGGTTCCGAGGGGCGTGGCAGAGCTGTTCTCAAACATGTGAACCGTGCGGGGGCGCTGGGGGGCGCGCTCCCCGCGCTGCCGGGCGTCTCTGCCAGCAGCTCCGCGTGACCTGGGCTCTCTGAACTCTCTTCCCACTGATGCCAGCCTGGCTGCCGTCTCCAGCCCTCTACGGCCTCGCCATCGACTCCTCGTGCATCCGGTGGAGCCTGCAGTGCTCAGGCAGGCGAGGGGCCTGCGCCTACTACGACAACGATGCTCTCAGAGACAGGTGAGGGCCTTGCATGGCCTGTGTCAAGGAGGCCAGACCCCAAGCCTGAGCAAAGGGCAGTCATCTGCTCAGGTGGCTATGGTAGGGGCTGTCAGGCTTCCAAGGGAGAGGACGGAGGGTGCTACCATGGACAGGGAGTCACCAGTGATGGCATTTCAGGGCTCACAGAGAGCTGTCCAAGTAACAAGACCCTGGGGCTGCTCTGGGGTGGCCCCCAATCTGCGGTCCCCACAGGCCCTCTGGAGGGACGGCAGTAGAAAGAAGTTAGTCAAAGGGAAGGGGATGGCTGGAGTTTGAGGGAGAGGCCGTGGCCGTGGAATGCTGATGCCAGGCCAGCCTCCCACTGCTCAGAAAGAGGTGGCTGATCACTGCTCCTGGCAGAGGTCAAGGGCAAGGGGACCCCACCTGCCCCAGCATGTCTGAGCCCAGCTGCAGCCCCACTGAGTTCTGCATCCCTTCCAGCCACGTCACCTGCTGCCATCATCACACAGATCAGAAAGAGTGAGGAGAGTGGGCTTGAGGGGGCCTGGAAGGGGTCTGGAAATGGTGTGGGAGTGGCACAGAAGGCCGGGAGAGGAGCCAACCAAGAGGGCAGTGAGAAGGTGCCCCCTCCTGGCTGTGCTGGGAGGACTGGACCCTCCAGGCAGGCTGGCACTGCAGTGTTGCCTCTGGCCCTCTAGGGGGCGCCTGTGCAGGAATGAGGACCACTGGATTAGGAGCCCATACCTACTCCCTGTGAAGCTTGTACCCTTTTGGGTCCAAAGCATGAGGAAAGTGGTCCCCCCCTGGGTGGCAACGCATCCTTACCTGAGTGGTGTCAAGACATTCCCTGGGCCACTCTGGGAACAATGTGCTCTTCCTGGTGGCCCTAGCCCTGGGCTGCAGGCCACAGAGAGCCTCCACACCCCCTCACTGGTCCTGTCTCCTCCTGCCCCACAGGTACCTGGGCCTGCAGGTGGGCTACAAGGCGCTGGGCACGCTGCTGCTCTTCTTCATCAGCTGGCGGGTGAAGAAGAACAAGGAGTACAATGTGCAGGAGAAGGCTGCAAGCCTCATCTGACCCTTGACCCTCGGCCAGACTGCAGGCCTGCTCCAGAGAGTGGACCCTGTCCCTCCACTCCTGCCTGTATTTACTAATGTTAACTCGTCATTTCCTTTTTGTTTTTTTAAATAAGAAAGAAAACCTCAGCCACCATTTGCCTTCCCTGCCTCCTCCTCCCAAAGGCCCCCCCAAGATCCTTAGGGCCACTGTGCACCTGGGCTGGGTGGGCACAGAGCCGGAGGGCCGGGGCTTACCTGGCTCCTTGAGAGGGCCCCACATGCACAGGCTCTCCTCAGTGCTGGGTCTTCCAGCAAGGATGCCCACTGAGGCAGCGCCTGCCCCTCACCAGTCCTGTGGGGGGTGGTTTCCTCAGTGGAGAGAGAAAAGGGGGCATCTGCCCAGAGGAAGAAGGGAGTGAGCTGGGTTATTAGTGGCCAGAGCCAGGCTAGGGGAAGGGGAGCCTGACTGTAGCCCCCTTTGCATCTGGGTTCAGCATCAGCACAGAACCGAAGAGGAGCTGGCTCCCTCTCCCTCAGATCCTCACTTCCTGCCCGAGAGGCCATTTCGGAAGCTGCCATGTTGGGGAGTATGACCAGCTGGTCCCCTCTCAGTTACCCACACTCAGGCACCAGAGCAAGGACTAAGACACCCCGAGGGTGGGTCATCCAAATGCTGTTCACATTAACTCTAGACCCTTCTGTACATGGGTCTGCGCACGTTTATCTGTCTTTCCGGGGGTACGTTTCAAACTGAGAAAGCCACAGCATGATGAAGACCTGAGGAAAGCTATGAAACGGTCATGATGCCCAACCTCCCACACCCACAATGAGGGACAAGACTCCTCAGAGTGACGGGAAGACCCTCCCTGAGTTTCCCCGGGAGCAGATGCGGCGGCTTCACCGGGACTTCCCTGCCTGGCCGTCAGCCTGTAAGCCGCGGAGCAGAGAGAGGCAGTCGAGGATGACAGCAAAACCAGTGACAAAGCGAAGGGACTGTCAATGCCGTGCTGGACGGCAAGCTGCAGCCTGCAAAGGAGAGGCCGGCGAGACTGACTTCAAACCTGCTTGTATTCATCAACATTTTCTCAACCTCCGCTCACTGCCTCCAGAGAGGTGGGCACTCTCCGTGGGAGTGGGTTGAGGGACACTGCTGCTGTGTGGTAGAGGTTCAGAGTTAGAAGCCAACAAAGGAGGCCTTTCATTAACAAATATTATATTTATTGGAGACCATCTTTTTACAAGGCAGTGCTAGTACATGGTTCTCCACCGAGCTTCCCTGAGATCTCCCCTCCCCTCCCTCGATCGACACTAGGGCCTCCTCCCAGAGTATGCTCGGTGGGCAGTGGGGGGGGGAGGCATAGTAAGAAGATTGTCAACAGGATCTTGACCATCCATGCCCCAGCAGACTGACCCCACACCTGGCCCTTTGCCAGACAGGGAGTTGACTCACCAGGTCCTCTGGGGCAGCTGGGCATTGGTCATTGCCACATGTGGATCTCTTGAATACCACTCCCATGGAAGACCCCTCCAGAAGCATACCAGAAGCCACCTCTGGAAAGGCCTCTCATGGTGGTAAGCCAAAAAATTTATGTCAACGGCCGAACTGCCATGAGACTGAAGTCTTTGTGAAAGCCACTGTTACAGACAGCCTTATTTCCAAAGATCTCACTCAGGAAGCGAGGCTCCATGCAACCTCAGGACCAGTTTCAGCATTTAAAGTGGTTCTGCTTGGAAGATGATTCTCCGCAACTAACCCTGGTCCTTCTTGCTGCAATTTAACCAAATTCTGAAGGCACTGCCTTCAGCGGAGCTCACAAACAGTGAATGCCAACCTTCAGATTCTGGAAGATTGGTTGCCCTCCTAAGCCTTTATTCTATTGTAATATTGCTATTAATATATTATAATTTTGCTACTGATGTAACTTGGTCATGAATTTGTACTGTCATGTATATCTGTCAGAAAGCAGGCAGAACCTGCACCTTCTAGCCATGCCACAGCCCTCAGGGGCCATGGGGATGGGAGGTCATGCCACTCTCAACCCGTCAGCCTGGTATGGAGCAGGCAGCAGGTGCTTCTTGTTCCTTCAGTGAAGTTGTGCAGGTAACTGTCAAAGGCCCATGATGCCAGGTCCTCAGGAGGCCTGATCCCCGCCCTTGAGTTTATATCCAGAAGTGGGGTTGGACACAAACAGCTAAGTCCATGATACAAAACAGAATTAAGACCATAATCATCGGGCCGGCCCGGTGGCACAAACGGTTAAGTGCGCGTGCTCCACTGCAGTGGCCTGGGGTTCGCCGCTTTGGATCCCGGGCGCACACCGACACACCGCTTGTCAAGCCATGCTGTGGGGTGTCCCATATAAAGGTGAGGAAGATGGGCACAGATGTTAGCCCAGGGCCAGTCTTCCTCAGCAAAAAGAGGAGGATTGGCAGATGTTAGCTCAGGGCTGATCTTCCTCATAAAAAAAAAACAAAACCATAATCATCATTGTTCCCTTGGCCACAGCCAATACAACCACTCCCACAGTAAATCTTTCCTCCCAGCTGCAGGCAGGGAATATAATGTCACCTTCATTCTACTTCTAGAGCAAAGCTTAACAAACTGCCTTGATTGTTAGACTCCTATAGAGGATGGTGTTAAAATGCAGATTCCCAGCCCCCTCCACCAGCCCCAGAGTCTATTTCTGTGGGTTTGAGGGGCCCAGGAGTGGCACTTTTAACTGGCCTCTCGTGTGAGACCAATGCAGGTGGTCGTCCAACCCTGTGTGGTGGGTCATCCGTGCAGCAGAGCCCCAGGGATGCCCACCTGGGCTTAGGCCAGTGAGAAATGTACAGACTCGACAGGCCTTGGGTAAGCTTCAATGTGAGTGAAGGGTGACAAGGGGAAGGGTGCCTACAAATCTGATTTCCTGGGCAGCTTCAATCAGGAGATAGTGGGCATGGAAAACCATCCAAGAGCTCACATTTATACTAGGTTCTTACCAGTGCTAAGAGTGGAATTCTCACTCTACAAGCCTGAGAGTGCAAAATGTGTCACAGGTATTTCTTTAAATCAGTCATGTCTGACTTCAAGCCCTCATCCGGCTGGCTGGCTGGCTGAAAATTCAACATCAACCATCCTTGGGTCAGGCTCCTGGAGCCATCCACAGGTCCTTGGGTCCTGCCACTGCGGGTCTTTGTCCCTTCCCAGTTTGAGGGCCCCTAGTGTCCTGCTTCCCCCCTGAGCCTGGAAACCCTGCAGAGGCCAGATCCCAGGGTAAGGGCCACCTCCCTGTGCATCCCCAACTATGACCTCCTCACCTTTTCAGTCCTAAGAAGCCCACCCTTCTGCTCCACTCCCCCTCCCAGTCCCTCAAGGGCTGAATGAAAAAGCCACGAAAGGAAAGGTCTGCAGGAACCTTTTTACTCCATCCTTCTTTGAACATTTTTGGCATAGGAGAGGGAGAATGCAGTGAGAATCAAACACCATGTCTCCATAAGTTATCCTTTGGCCCAGAGCCCTCTGGAGTGATCCTCCCATTGGCCCCTTGTTGGAGGCCAGACTGGTATTAAGGTCCCATTTGAAGATAAGGAATCTGAAATCAAGGAAGTAACCATTGTGGCCAACTTCATGCAAATAATACCTGGACAGACCTGGACTCGAACCAGGCTGTGCAGCCTCTGTCTGCTCCAGCTCCAGCTCCCCTCCTGAGTCATTCTGGAAATGGGGGGAGGCCCCTCTGTTCCCACTGAAGTTCACTGGCCCATGGGAGGGTGGTGGGGAAATCTATGGAGGCCGGTAAGGTGGGTAATGGAGGTGGGAGACCCAGGGGATATTCCATTTCCCACCTTCTGGTCAAGCAGCAAGGTCAGTGCAGTTCATTAACTGCGGCCGATTTAGCCCTATAGCACCATGAGCTAAAGGAGTGTCGCAGAGAAAAGGGACAAAGAGGAAAAGGTTTCAGGAGAAAAGGCCGAGAGATCTGCACACAGACAGACCTTCAAGGCAACACCCCCACCTGGTGACGGGTTGGCAGATTCCTGCCTAGGAAACAAAGCCACATGGTGATTTTCTCCATCTACTCTCAAAGATGGAGAGAGGCAGTTAAGCTGGGGCTGAATCTAGACAGTATCAAATTGATATTAAAATATATTACAGATTCCCAGAAAGATTAGCAGGGGCTGTGTGTGTGTGTGAGAAAGAGACAGAGACAGAGACAGAGAGAAACTACAAATCCAAGAGCAAAATCCTCTCTTTTACAACCACAAGAACTAAACCCCTGGGAGAAATGTCCATTTCCTGCCAATAGCACCCAATTCATTATAACCTTTCATCAGAGATTAAATATGGAAACAGGGCCTGGACAAGCCCTTGGCAAATCATAAGGGAGGGAAAGTTTTTCTCCCAAGACACACCCTGCCCGTTCACCCACCCTCCACCCCCCATCCCCACCCCTGCATTGTTGCCACCCTACACAGGGGTCACCCCAGCTTGCTGAAGTCCCTGGTCTCCAGGCGCCTGCTACACCTTGATGACAATAACAGTACCTAAAATGTGCACTTGAGAGTTTACAAAGCCCTCCATTCATTTAACGAATTCCTTTATTTGCTACCTCGGTCAGGATAGGCTTGGCTATGATGTGGTAACAAACCTCACCAATCTGTCACATGACACAGCAGGAGTGCATATCTTGCTCACCTAAAGTCCAGCTCACCTAAAGTCCACTGCCGGTCTGGGTGACTCTCCAGGACAGTGGCCTCCAAATGGCGGCTCAGTATCCAGTCTGCTTGGACCCTGAGGTGCCTCCATTTGATAACATGCTGCCAGATCCATGAGGCAGGGGTAGAAAGTCCTTGAAGGTCTTGCACTGGTAAGTAAACGTTTTGGCCCAGAAGTAACATGCTTCACCTCTGCTCCCAGCCCACTGGCCAGAACTCGTCGCAAGTCCCTGCCTGACTGCCATGGGGGCGGGGAAGGACAGTCCTCCTGTGAGCTCGGAAGAGACAAGAAGCAGATATGGACAAGCACTAGAATCCTCTACCACTGGGGGCAACCTGGGTGGCTGTTGGGGGAGGAGGGGTACAGTCAGGAAAAGTTTTCCAAAGGAGGAAGCATCAATGCTGGGTCCCAAAAGGTGAGCAGATGCTTTCCAGGCAAGGCTGAGCCTGTAGGCAGTTTGCAGA